AAAAATTTTGATGAATAAATTGTGTTTTCTAAACTAAAACTTCAGTATTCAGGGTTAGTTGCAATGTTGACACTTTGCAATAAATAAGTAGGCTTTGGGTTGCAGTTTGGGTATTAATGTTTGTTTGTTTGTTTGTTTGTTTGTTTGTTTGTTTGTTTTGGCAGAACCAGAGATTGAACTCAGACCCTTGCGCTTACCAGGGAAGCACTTATTCTACTGAGCCATCTCCCCGGCCCCAGAGTATTAATTTTTAAAAAGTTCATCAGCACTATATTGGACCCATTCTAATTATCTCACTTTAATTCAGTTATATGTATAAATGTGGGTTTTTTTCCAAATAAAGTCCTGATCTGAGATACTAGGGACTAAACATCAATATATTTTTGCGGGATAAAATTCAACCAATAACATACAGGATGCAAAGCTTTTGAGAATAACACAAGAAAATGGCAGTCACATCACAGCAAAGCAAGCCCAGGTAAAGCATAAGGTAAAAAGATTCCTAGGTTAGTATTTTAAAACCATCTTCTTGGCTGGGGATGTAGCTTAGTGGAACAGTACCTTCCCGGCAAATGCAAGGTCCTGAGTTCAGTTCCCAGTACCAAAAATAAAATAAAGCTATCTTTTCATTGTTTGGTCTTTTCCTTAGAAAGCTACCATTAACATCATTTCATGTTCAATCTCTGCAACTCAAAACACAAGCAATAAGCTGGTAGCTGCTTTCTCAGACCTCTTCTGCGAAGTGTTGCTACCAGGTAGGTTTTCTTGAAGGGCTGGGTTGGATTAGGTCAAGTTGGTGTGGTGTGGTGTGGTGTGGTGTGGTGTGGTGTGGTGTGGTGTGGTGTGGCGTGGTGTGGCGTGGTGTGGCGTGGTGTGGTGTGGTGTGGTGTGGCGTGGCGTGGTGTGGCCTGGTATGGCGTGGCGTGGCATGGCATAGTGTGGTTTGGGTCTAAAATTCTCCTGAGTTTTCTGTTTGTTATTTCTTTAGCAAGAGGGTTTGGAATAAGTTTCATCTAATTCCTCTATATCAGATTTTGATGAGCAGAATAGATATACATTGTAATTATCAATGGGCATAAGTTGGTTATATATTGATAAAAGTGCTTCCAAGCATCAGAAAATTGACCACATGTTTCTTTCTCAGAAGAATATTTTTCCCGTCTTCACTCTGGCCTCCACCTTCTTAGAACCAATTTCTTTCTGGAGGGTTTAAGTAAAGAACCTATGAGATTTATGATATGCTTTGGCTATAAATACTATCCCTGCCAAGGGCTAGGTTTCTGGGCCCTCATATTCTTCTAAGTATGTCAAAAGAAGCATACTAGGAATCTGAAATTTCCCTTCTTTACTAGTTCCTTATGTTTTGAGCTCTTGCAGTTTGGGTAGCAATTAGTATAATAAAAATGAGAGACAACAGAGTAATGACTAGAGACCATGCATATTTGAAACCAACATTGGGTTTGCGTAAGATTTTGAGGCTATACTTCCATCAGTGAAGGTATAATAACAAGTAGTGACAAAGCAAGAGTGTATAGATTCGTCTTTTCTTCTAAATGCACCTTCCTTCTCCACTGAATAAAAAAAGCTTTCTATAGTCCAAAATCAGGAGAAAAGACATGGCTCAATAACTATATAAAGAAAAACTAGAGGAAAATGGGAACTCACTAGCACATATAACTCAGAATCATAGAATTACAACTAATTCTAACAAGTTTGAAAATGAAATGTCAGGATGCAAGAACCATTTAGGAGCACCACGACTTTTCTTAAATAATTGAGATTATAGAAAATCAAACTGTGGTAGGTACCTTTGCTTCAACAGCAGCTCCAGATTCAATACATGGATTTCCATTCGCATAGATCACACTTCATAGATTTTAGAGGTGCTGACAAAGGAAAAGAAATACATTCGTACCATCTCTCCAAACAAGACCAATTAATTCCAGATATAGGTCCCTTAGCTTAACAATCCATTGGCTGCTGCGCTATACAAAGAGTTGCTTTAGTTCTTTTCCTTTAAAGTGAAATTATAGCTTTCCCACACATACATTTTATGGCATCTCATAGCACTGATATGTCATAATGGAAAGAGCTGTGCTTCCTAATCTCAAAACTAAGTCAGCCCTTACTCTTTCTCTCCACCTGAACCTGCAGCCCGCGGACGTTGCCTATTCTGGGCTCTCCCTTATGGCCCCCGTATGGCACCTAGGGCTTAAGACATCGATGCAACTTGAGAACATCATCCCTGCCCAGATCAGCTGTGCCCAGCTAGAATTCCTGCCTGGCAGCCTAGAAATGAGCATAACGGATGCCCAAGTGAACCCTGCCCGGGTGAACGCTGCCCATGTGAGTCCTGCCTGTCTCATCTCTGCCAGCATGAAGCATACGCCACCTCTCCCTGCTCCTGCGGACAGGGACTGCCTGCTTGCTCTTTAAGCTCCATGGCTCTCTTGCCTCACTTCTAATGACATTCTGTTAGCCAAAATGAATGTGCTTCAGTACATCTGCCCTTATAACAAAGGTAAAAGCCAGATGAACATTGCATCTTTGCTGGGCTAAATACTTAAATACATTTGTAGCTGCACTTGGCCTCGGTGGACTTCACTGAGTGCAGCTTATGTCACTCTTTGAAACATCTTTATGGTCAGTGAAAAGATCAAGCATTACCTGCAGTGATGGTAAGCTCCAAATAGCCGGTTCCAGTAACATCCTGGGTATGAGTCATACGTCTGATCAGTTGCCTTATAATAAATCTCCTCCTCATGTATCTTGATAAAAGAAGAGCTTTCAGCATTTTTTTACTTAAAGTTCCCCACCAAGGCTTTCACTTTTCATACTTTTCGATTATCAAACTATACAATTTTATCATTTTCCTCATTTACTACCCATGTGATTAACCTCATAATCCTTTACAGAGTTAGCTATAAATTGACTTCCTCGGCCCCAGTTTCACATACACGCACGCACACACCTGCACATACCCACGCCTAGGCATAAAATAATAGGCCATTCTCTAAATGCTGTCCCTTCTTGTCTATTTTCATTATATTTTGAAAGGTTCCACACAGGTCAGCACCACTGGTGTTTTCTGCTTTCATGTCAGTAACAATCCTCTTTCTTATTAATAACAGTAACAACAATAAAAATAGTAATAATGCTACTTCCATCCCTTCCCAAGACCACAAAGGTCTTGGCTCTAAATACAGGCGTGCACTAAAATACCCAACAGATGCTAGGTATCTTATTTTCTAACTTCTCCAATGTCTTAACCAACTGTTCTTTACTTATGTCTAAGTTTCTAACAGTTCTAAGTTATTAAGTTCAAGAGGATGACTAGGAAGTGTGTACATAAGGAATAGTCTTCTCTCCTCTTTATCCCTCCTGCTTTACATTTTCTGCCTTCCTCGCCTCATATCCAAACCACAACTCTATTGAATTAAGTAGAAATCAGAAAAATATTTTAGTTCCTCCCTGACCCCTCCCGCCGAGTAGGAATTTCTGCCGACTTCCGGGAACCCCCAGACCCAGTCCTAGCCCAGGTCCGGTGAGTGTGTGGAGAGCTTCCTGCTACCCTGCGCCG